GACCACTGCAGGGGGGCTGCTGTGAGCTGCTGCAGCCCACGATCCAGGAGCCGGGTGCACAGCGCCTGATGGCAGCTCTAAGGGGCGCTATGCACCCCTTACAGCTGCCATCAGACGCCCCACATAGGTTGGTGCCCTAGGCAGCTGCCCTGCTAGCCCATGCTTTAATCCGGCCCTGGATAATAGTAGAAAAGGATAAAAAACCACAAGAGTCAACCTTCAGCATGATCTCTTTAAAAAAAGAAAGTAACTGTTGTACATTTTTGCAATTTAAAATTGTTTATACTCTTCCATCACTGCAAAATTGGTTTAAGTGACAACAGGTATGCCTTCTCACTGTAGTCATGCTCAGAGGTGGTTCTGAGCTGCAAAGTTCAAAACCACACCTTTTTTCCACACTTCAGGGGTATTCCTATGAAGGGCTTTTCACCTAGTATTACACTACCTGCCACTCGTTCTGACTGATATAAATAGGTTGTAATGCCACTCTACACAGAGCTCTGAGAAAGGAATGCTTCCAAGAATTAGGTCACAATGTCAGTAAATTTATATTGTTACCACATGGACCCAAGAGATTACTGATGAGGATTATGAACTAGTTACTGATTTCAAACTTGGAAGCATTTTATTGCTTTGATCTGACACTCACCTATGAGGAGGTGCACAACTTGGCAGTAGCAATTGATAGTGCTTGGTGTCCCTCATAAGATACTTTGCAACATTGAAGGACCTACCCCAAAGTGTTACTAATAATTGTATTATTACTTATTTCAGATACTATAACTACTAGGCAGCATCAATAGAGGAGAAAACTAGTACATTTCAGCACATACATTGTAAAGAGGAAAAGACTTTAGAGCCATCCTCTGAACACAGTGTGCTACAATTTTTATACATATAATATGCAAACACACGTATACACACACGCTGTGCCCATTTATACTAAGGGATAACATATAAATTCCTCCATAAACTGAAGTTAGAACACATTCTTTGGAACATATCTCTCTTGTAAAAAACAAAACAAAACAAAAATAGAATTCAACATAATTCAAATGATAGTTTACATACATCTTTGGGTGGCAGCTGTTTTTCTAAAGGGAAAGTTCTCTTTAATGTCTATACTTTTTCTCAGAAAAAAACATTCCATGATACATAATTGGTACATTATATCCAGAATAAGGTCAATTAAAAGTATATTAATTCCCTTAAAAGTCTCCTAATGTACTTCAAATCTAGATCAATCCCTTATTTAAATTATGAAAATATATACACAATCAAGCTGATGGACACCCCAACAGCTGGTTAGCAGTTTGGAAAAAAATTTCATCACTAATTAACACGGCTTTGCCGGCAAAAGTCATAGTACAGATGCAGTTATGTTGGCCTTTTGCAGCCATAGCTTTTTAGTTCAGATAACTGATATAATTCAGCAGTTCTCAAAGTGTGGTCTGTAGACCACTAGTGGTCCACAGCCAACTTGTATGTGGGCCAGGGCTCAAAGTTCAGCCCCCTCCCCCCTGCAGCTCAGAGCTCACGCTGCACTCCAGCCCTGCAGCTTCTCCCACCATCCCCTGCAAGGTTGGAGTGTCAGGTTCCTGCTGTGGAGTGGGGATCCCTGAGCCTTGTGGGCTGGATCTGGTTCACAGAGGAGCAAGTGGCTCAGCACACTTCTGTTCCCCCTCCCCCTGAGCTGGGGGAACAGTAGCGCAGGGAGGCACTGCCTGTAGGCTTTCCCCACTGCTCCCATTGGCCGAGAGATAAAAAGGCATCTTTTAAAAAGCGGAAGTCCAATCCTAGTGAGGTAAATGGAAAGGAACATATACATGGCCAAATTAAGAATAAATATGTAATAAGAAAAGCCAAAAAAGATTTTGAGGAACAGCTAGCCCAAAATTCAAAAAGTAATAGCAAAATGTTTTTTAAGTATACTGGCAGTCCCCGGGTTACGTACAAGATAGGGACTGTAGGTTTGTTGTTAAGTTGAATTTGTATGTAAGTCGGAACTGGTACATATTGTAGGGGAAACTCTAGCCAAACATTTCTCCAGAGCTCAGTTTTATTCTCCAACACCTCACTTCCCTCAGTCCTTTATTCTCAAGCTGAGGTGTCTGCTGAGAAAAGCCGTTCCACGTCTCCCTGGTCTGCTGGGAGGGGCGCTAGCTTTGCGTCTCCCTGGTCTGCTGGGGGGAAGCAGCTAGTGCGGGGTTGCCTCACCCCGTTTGTAAGTAGGGATCTGATGTAAGTCGGATCCATGTAACCCGGGGACTGCTTGTATTAGAAGCAGGAAGCCTGCTAAAAAACCAGTGAGGCCCCTACATGATCAAGATACAACAGGAACAATCAAGGACGATAAAGCCATTACAGAGAGACTAAATGATTTCTTTGCTTCGTTCTTCACAGCTGAGGATGTTAGGGAGATTCCCAAACCTGCATCATCCTTTGTGGGTGATGAATCTGAGGAATTGTCCCGGATTGATATGTCATTAGAGGAGGTTTTGGAACAAACAGAAAAACTTAACAGTAACAAATGACCGGGACCGGATGGCATTCACTCAAGGGCTCAATGTAAAATTACAGAACTATTAACTGTGGTTTGTAAACTATCCTTTAAATCAGCTTCTGTATTCAAGGACTGGAAGACAGCTAACAGAACGCCAATATGTAAAAAGGGTTCTAGAGGTGATCTTGGCAATTACAGACCGATAAATCTAACATCAATACCAAGCAATTTAGTTGAAACAATAGTCAAGAATAAAATTGTCAGACATGCAGAAGAACATAATTTGTTGGGCAAAAGTCAACATGGTTTCTGTAAAGGGATATCATGTCTTACTAATCTATTAGAGTTCTTTGAAGGGGTTAACAAACATGTGGACAAGGGGGATCCAGTAGATAGAGTATACTTAGATTTCCAGGAAGCTTTTGACAAGGTGCCTCACCAAAGGCTCTTGTGTAAATTAGGTTGTCATGGTATAAGAGGAAAGATCCTTTCACGGATTGAAAACTGATTAAAAGACAGGAAACAAAGGGTAGGAATAAATGGTAAATTTTCAGAATGGAGAGGGGTAACTAGTGGTATTCCCCAAGGGTCAGTCTTAGGACCAGTCCTATTCGATTTATTCATAAACAATCTAGAGAAAGGGGTAAACAGTTAGGTGGCAAAGTTTGCTGACAATACTAAACTGTTCAAGATAGTCAAGACCAGAGCAGACTGTGAAGAACTTCAAAAAGATCTCACCAAACTGAGTGATTGGGCAACAAAATGGCAAATGAAATTTAATGTGGATAAGTGTAAAGTAATGCACATTGGAAAAAATAACCCCAACTATACATACAATACGATGGGGCTAACTTAGCTACAACTAATCAGGAAAGAGATCTTGGAGTCATCATGGATAGTTCCCTGAAAACGTCCACGGAGTGTGCAGCGGCAGTCAAAAAAGGAAATAGGATGCTAGGAATTATTAAAAAGGGGATAGAAAATAAGACGAAGAATATCTTACTGTCCCTATATAAAACTATAGTAAACTCACATCTTGAATATTGCATACAGATGTGGTCTCCTCACCTCAAAAAAGATATTTTGGTATTAGAAAAGGTTCAGAAAAGAGCAACTAAAATGATTCAGAAAAGGTTCAGAAAAGAGTAACTA